TCTTGTATTGAACTGTATTGTTGCTGTATTATCTCCCGTTATATTGTAAAGCGCTGAGCAAACTGTTGGCGCCATAATTCCTGTATTATATTAATAATAATAATGTAGGTGGCAGTTTAATCGTTTACCTGCCGCCGTATAGTAGATATACTGCTACACGGTGGCACAAGTGCACAAAATCACGCGTGTATATATACGTGTTTTCATTTCCGGGTAGGGGGTGCACGACCGAGGATGTCAATCACCGGGTCCCGGCTGGTGATTAGCCACTGGCGCCCGGTGATTACCAGCATTCGCCGTCAGAGAGGTAGACTGCCTGTCAGCTCAGGCACACTGCTCGGGATGGCTGTGCACATAAGTACCTGAAATAGATAAATATAGCCAGGCAACCAAATAATGATTGAACGACTATGCTGGATATATGTCTGTCATTTAAACTAGTGGTGCGCTGAAAAACAAATGCGCAGTTTTTAAAAATGAATATATATTTTTTTTTGGAAAAAAAACATGATTAAAAAAAAACAATATGAACCACATCTAAAATATGATAGAGGATGTTACGGCGAGTAAATAGATATCCACCATGTCACGCTTTTAATGTGCGCACGCTCGAGGAATGGCGTGAAACTGCGGGTACTTAAAAACCTCCATGGGTGATGCTTTAAAAATGTCTCCAGGTCAGCAGTGTGAAGTTACAGAGTAGGTCGAGTGCCAGAATTATTGCTCTCGCTCCGACGTTCGTGGCGATACCTCGCGTGTGTGGTTTGAACATTGTTTACATATGTGGACGTGGCCTACGAATGCGTTCATTAAAAAAATTTTATGGGGGGTCAATGAGACATAATTAGTGACAGGTCCTCTTTATGGAGAGATATGGGGGGTCAATGAGACATAATTAGTGACAGGTCCTCTTTATGGAGAGATATGGGGGGGGGGGTCAATGAGACATAATTAGTGACAGGTCCTCTTTATGGAGAGATATGGGGGGTCAATGAGACATAATTAGTGACAGGTCCTCTTTATGGAGAGATATGGGGGGGGGGGGTCAATGAGACATAATTAGTGACAGGTCCTCTTTATGGAGAGATATGGGGGGGTCAATGAGACATAATTAGTGACAGGTCCTCTTTATGGAGAGATATGGGGGGTCAATGAGACATAATTAGTGACAGGTCCTCTTTATGGAGAGATATGGGGGGGTCAATGAGACATAATTAGTGACAGGTCCTCTTTATGGAGAGATATGGGGGGGGTCAATGAGACATAATTAGTGACAGGTCCTCTTTATGGAGAGATATGGGGACAATGAGACATAATTAGTGACAGGTCCTCTTTATGGAGAGATATGGGGGGGGGACAATGAGACATAATTAGTGACAGGTCCTCTTTATGGAGAGAGATATGGGGGGACAATGAGACATAATTAGTGACAGGTCCTCTTTATGGAGGAGAGTCAATGAGACATAATAGTGGGTCCTCTTTATGAGATGGGGGGGACAATAATAATTAGTGACAGGTCCTCTTTATGGAGAGATATGGGGGGGGGACAATGAGACATAATTAGTGACAGGTCCTCTTTATGGAGAGATAATATGGGGGGTCAATGAGACATAAATTAGTGACAGGTCCTCTTTATGGAGAGATATGGGGGGTCAATGAGACATAATTAGTGACAGGTCCTCTTTATGGAGAGATATGGGGTCAATGAGACATAATTAGTGACAGGTCCTCTTTATGGAGAGATATGGGGGGGTCAATGAGACATAATTAGTGACAGGTCCTCTTTATGGAGAGATATGGGGGGTCAATGAGACATAATTAGTGACAGGTCCTCTTTATGGAGAGATATGGGGTCAATAAGACATAATTAGTGACAGGTCCTCTTTATGGAGAGATGGGGGGGGGGGTCAATGAGACATAATTAGTGACAGGTCCTCTTTATGGAGAGATATGGGGGGGGGGACAATGAGACATAATTAGTGACAGGTCCTCTTTATGGAGAGATATGGGGGGGGGGTCAATGAGACATAATTAGTGACAGGTCCTCTTTATGGAGAGATATGGGGGGGGATCAATGAGATATAATTAGTGACAGGTCCTCTTTATATGGGGGGGGGGTCAATGAGACATAATTAGTGACAGGTCCTCTTTATGGAGAGATATGGGGGGGGGTCAATGAGACATAATTAGTGACAGGTCCTCTTTTATGGAGAGATATATGGGGGGTCAATAAGACATAATTAGTGACAGGTCCTCTTTATGGAGAGATATGGGGGGGTCAATGAGACATAATTAGTGACAGGTCCTCTTTATGGAGAGATATGGGGGGGGTCAATGAGACAATTAGTGACAGGTCCTCTTTATGGAGAGATATGGGGGGTCAATGAGACATAATTAGTGACAGGTCCTCTTTATGGAGATGGGATCAATGGGTGACAATGAGAGATAATAATTAGTGACAGGTCCTCTTTATGGAGAGATATGGGGGGGTCAATGAGACATAATTAGTGACAGGTCCTCTTTATGGAGAGAATATGGGGGTCAATGAGACATAATTAGTGACAGGTCCTCTTTATGGAGAGATATGGGGGGTCAATGAGACATAATTAGTGACAGGTCCTCTTTATGGAGAGATATGGGGGGGGGGGTCAATGAGACATAATTTGTGACAGGTCCTCTTTATGGAGAGATATGGGGGGGGACAATGAGACATAATTAGTGACAGGTCCTCTTTATGGAGAGATATGGGGGGGGGGGAAATGAGACATAATTAGTGACAGGTCCTCTTTATGGAGAGATATGGGGGGGGGGGGTCAATGAGACATAATTAGTGACAGGTCCTCTTTATGGAGAGATATGGGGGGGGGACAATGAGACATAATTAGTGACAGGTCCTCTTTATGGAGAGATATGGGGGGGGGGGACAATAGAGACATAATTAGACAATGAGACATAATTAGTGACGGGTCCTCTTTATGGAGAGATATGGGGGGGGGGACAATGAGACATAATTAGTGACGGGTCCTCTTTATGGAGACATTGGGGCCAATAAGACCTCACATCTCTCCTCTGCAATGTAACGCATTGGATAAAAAAAAGCATTTATCTAGCGCTTTAAAAAGAAAAAAAAAATGGCCGGAACAGGAAGTGACATCGCTCCGGTCCTCCAAAAGCATAGAGATGAGTGGCGGCCATCTTTCCTTCACTCACCTCTATGCCTAGCGCCCGGATTGATAAGGCTGTGAACTACGCGGTGAGGGGCGGGGTTTTTTTTCTGGCACCTGCATTGGTGCTTTTGTTTTTTTTCATTTCAGCCAACGGCCGAAAGGGGTGTTTTTTGGCTGAAACGTTTCGGCCATCGAAAATTTCAGTGCGTCCCAAATTTAACCTCTTCACGCCAGCCCGAGCGCAAATGTGCGTCCTCCCCGGTGTCTGGGCCTAGAGCCGACGCCCTGCCCGCTCCCAGCACACACGTCCGGTACTCGCGGAAAGGTCCTGATCTCCTCTTTCGATCGGGACCTTCCCCGATCATGTCACCTGACCCTAAACCCCGCCTCCCGGCTTCTGAAACTCTTAAAGGGCGGGAGGCGTCGACGGGCGTGAAGGGGTTAAACCTTTTGATTCAGAATAAGTAGTAAAAAAAGGCAACATAGTTTCCAAGTGTTACATCGTTACTTTTGTATTACATAGTGATTGGAAAGGTTCCATTTTTAGAAAAAAAAAATAACAAACATGTTTATACTTACCTTATCTGTGTAATGGTTTTGCACAGAGCAGCCCCGATCCTTCTCGGGTCCCCCAGGCCCACCCCGAGTGCCCGCTGAGGGCCACTTTTTGTGTGTTCGCTCCCAGGCTGCCTCTCTGTGTCTATGAGATGCACAGAGCGTGGGTCGGCATGGCCCCTGCCCCTGACCATTTGGAAACTCAGGCACTGCCCGAAGGCCCGGGGTCAGTAGGGGGCCCCATGAGATGCCCCTGGTACCTTTTTCATAGGCTTTTTTGAGTTTGGGCAAGGACACAGGGGCCCCATGATCCCCTATTGCCCGGGGGCCCCATGAGTTGTCAGTCCGCCTCTGACCAGCACGTACTGCCTACCATACCTTCGGAACACAGCCCTCCGGCGCTGCGCTGCCACCGCTCCTGGCGCCTCCATCTTAAATCGGTCGTCCGTCAAGGTTCGCGCTCTCCGGCCGTTTGAATGGCTGGGCCGCAGTGACATCACAACGGCAGCACGGCACTCTCTGTATTCAGGGCACACTCAGTGCGACCTGAACGCAAAGCACGCTGGGCATGTGCGGTGACTTCAACGGCTAGAGCTGGTGTCGGTATCTCATGAACGGCAGAAGGAGATATTCACTGTAAAGCTGGCCAGAGATGGATCGAAAACCATCCAAGTTTTGATCCGCCGACAGGCAGGCTGGTCTAATCGGTCAACTTCAGTGCAACCAGCCTGTCGTTTTTTTGTTTTTCCTTCGATCCTTACCTTGTCCTGCGATCCCCCGATCCTTACCTTGTCCTGCGATCCCCCCGATCCTTACCTTGTCCTGCGATCCCCCGATCCTTACCTTGTCCTGCGATCCCCCGATCCTTACCTTGTCCTGCGATCCCCCCCGATCCTTACCTTGTCCTGCGACCCCCCCCCATCCTTACCTTGTGATCCTTACCTTGTCCTGCGATCCCCCCGATCCTTACCTTGTCCTGCGATCCCCCCGATCCTTACCTTGTCCTGCGATCCCCCGATCCTTACCTTGTCCTGCGATCCCCCGATCCTTACCTTGTCCTGCGATCCCCCGATCCTTACCTTGTCCTGTGATCCTTGCTGTGACCCCCCCCGATCCTTACCTTGTCCTGCGATCCCCCCGATCCTTACCTTGTCCTGCGATCCCCCGATCCTTACCTTGTCCTGCGATCCCCCCGATCCTTACCTTGTCCTGTGACCCCCCCCGATCCTTACCTTGTCCTGTGACCCCCCCCGATCCTTACCTTGTCCTGCGATCCCCCCGATCCTTACCTTGTCCTGTGATCCCCCGATCCTTACCTTGTCCTGCGATCCCCCGATCCTTACCTTGTCCTGTTATCCCCCGATCCTTACCTTGTCCTGCGATCCCCCGATCCTTACCTTGTCCTGTGACCCCCCCCGATCCTTACCTTGTCCTGCGATCCCCCCGATCCTTACCTTGTCCTGTGACCCCCCCCGATCCTTACCTTGTCCTGCGATCCCCCAATCCTTACCTTGTCCTGCCATCCCCCCCGATCCTTACCTTGTCCTGTGACCCCCCCCCCCGATCCTTACCTTGTCCTGCGATCCCCCCGATCCTTACCTTGTCCTGCGATCCCCCAATCCTTACCTTGTCCTGCCATCCCCCCCGATCCTTACCTTGTCCTGCGATCCCCCCGATCCTTACCTTGTCCTGTGACCCCCCCCCGATCCTTACCTTGTCCTGTGACCCCCCCCGATCCTTACCTTGTCCTGCGATCCCCCGGTCCTTACCTTGTCCTGCGATCCCCCAAGGTAAGGATTGGGGATCGCAGGACAAGGTAAGGATCGGGGGATCGCAGGACAAGGTAAGGATCGGGGGATCGCAGGACAAGGTAAGGATCGGGGAGATCGCAGGACAAGGTAAGGATGGGGGGATCGCAGGAGAAGGTAAGGATCGGGGAATCGCAGGAGAAGGTAAGGATCGGGGAATCGCAGGGGCAAGGTAAGGAGCGGGGAATCGCAGGAGAAGGTAAGGATCGGGGAATCGCAGGAGAAGGTAAGGATCGAAGGAGGGATTGGGGGATCGCAGGAGAAGGTAAGGATCGGGGGATCGATCGAAGGTAAGGATCGGGGAATCGCAGGAGAAGGTAAGGATCGGGGGATCGCAGGACAAGGTAAGGATCGGGGGATCGCAGGACAAGGTAAGGATCGGGGAATCGCAGGAGAAGGTAAGGATCGGGGAATCGCAGGAGAAGGTAAGGATCGGGATTGCAGGAGAAACACTACAGTGTAATCCTGAGTGTTGCTCGGGGTTACCGCTTTTGGTACTGTGAATTAACCCCAAGCCACACTCAGGATTACCGCCAGGGAGGGTAAAGCCTGCCTTCCAGTGTCTACGTACCTTGAGTCGCACATACGCAGCCCAGCATACATTTACTGCACTGCTCTGTGCCATGACGCTGCGACTCCCATGCGCAGGAGTGATGTCATTGCGTCCGAAGAGTCCGAACCTGGAAGGAAGACTGGGAGAAGATAGAATCATCCATAACAGCCAAGAATGCTGACACTGCAGCGCCGCAGGGGATCGCTTGGCAGGTACATCCGCCATAATGTATGCGTTGCATACTGGTGTGTTATGGCACAAAGCCCCCCAGGGACATTTTTATCATTTTTTTTTTTATGAAGAAGTTTAATTCCGCTTTATCATTTTCTGTGTAAGAACCGTACTGAGCTCCTCAGTCAGCCTAACACTGCTTACTTCATCCTGGGAATGGAGCTGCCACGTGAGGCTCTCGAGACGCATGTTCTGACTACAATCTCAGGGGGAATCTTTCCTTTTTTTACTGCAAAGAAATAAGAGGCAAACATGCCTGGAACATTATGTAAAATGATTGAAAGCGTATGCCCAGCGGCTCGTGTAGCTGGATACATGTGTGTAGGAAACAAGTGCGGCGCAAACGGGAAGCTGAAAAAATGAAAAACAAATCCTCCGGTTCATGAAATAAAGTCAGGCCAGGTTAATGAGATATTTATTATGACGCGGAGTACATAGACCTCACCCAGACGTGTTCCTTGTCGTTGTCTCTGTATTCCTGCCATCCTGTCCGCTGTCTGAGATATACAGTTGTGTTCAAAATAATAGCCGTGTGATGAAAAAAGTGACTAAAGCTGAAAATCCTTCTAATCCTTTTATTTCCATCCACACAAATGCATTGGGAACACGACACATTCTATTCCAAATCACAACAGGAAGAAAAATACATCAAATTTGTGTTGTTCCTCTAAAAAAATGGAAGAAAAGTGAATATTAGACGGTTCAAAAAAATGGCCGTGTTTGTATTCTTCTTTACAAACTCCAACATTCACTATATAAACTGAGAAATGTTTGAAGATTTTGCTTTCCTTTGAATGACTTCATGAATATTTGGTTGTAGTCGCACTGTTTCTGAGAACTGCTGTACATCTGTGTTGCATGGAGTCACCCAACTTCTGGCCCCTGTGATCAGGTATTCCAGCCCAGGATGATTGGACCACATTCCACAGTTCTTCTCTATTTCTTGGTTTTGCCTCAGAAACGGCATTTTTGATGTCACCCCACAAGTTTTCTATTGGATGAAGATCCGGGGATTGGGCTGGCCACTCCATAACGTCCATCTTGTTGGTCTGGAACCAAGATGTTGCACATTTACTGGTGTGTTTGGGGTCGTTGTCTTGTTGGAACACCCATTTCAAGGGCATTTCCTCTTCAGCATAAGGCAGCATGACCTCTTCAAGTATTCTGATGGATTCAAACTGATCCATGATCCCTGGTATGCGATAAATAGGCCCAACACCGTAGTATGAGAAACATCCCCATATCATGATGCTTGCACCACCATGCTTCACGGTCTTCACAGTGTACTGTGGCTTGAATTCAGTGTTTGGGGGGTCGTCTGACAAACTGTCTCCGCCCACTAGACCCAAAAAGAACAATCTTACTTCCATCAGTCCACAAAATGTTGCGTCATTTCTCTTTAGGCCGGTCAATGTGCTCTTTGGCAGATTGTAACCTCTTCAGCACACGTCTTTTTCCCAACAGTGGGACTTTGCGGGGACTTCTTGCAGATAGCTTGGCTTCACATCGGCGTCTTCTAATTGTAACAGTCCTCACAGGGAACGTCACACCTTCTTTCATCTTCCTGGAGCTGATTGTTGGCTGAGTCCTCACAGGGAACGTCACACCTTCTTTCATCTTCCTGGAGCTGATTGTTGACTGAGTCCGCCCCATTTTGGCTATTCTTCTATCCATTCCAATGGTAGTTTTTCGCTTTCTTCCTCGTCTTTCAGGTTTTGGTTGCCATTTTAAAGCATTTGCCATCATTTTAGCTGAGCAGCCGATCATTTTCTGCACTTCTTTATATGTTTTCCCCTCCCCAATCAACTTTTTAATCGCGGTACGCTGTTCTTCTGAACAATGTCTGGAACGACCCATTTTCCTCAGAATTTCAAAGAGAAATGCAATGTAACCAGCATGTCCAACATTTGCTGCCTTCCTTCCTTAAATAAGGGCAATAATTGCCACCTGTTTTTCAAAGAATGAATGACCTCACTAATAGAACTCCACACTGCTATTATATTGAACACGCCCCCTTTCAATGAGTGATTCAATGACACAGAATCAGCAGCACGCATGTCATGACTGTCGGGTCTGTTGGATTTCTATTACTCTACTATTATTATTATTATATACAGTATTTATATAGCGCCAAAAGTTTGCTCAGCGCTGTACATTATAGTGGAGGGACAGTACACGAGACAGTACAGTAAACAATACAATACACGAGGGGTTCGAGGGCCCTGCTCTTTCGAGATTACAATCTAGGAGGGAGGGGGGTAGAGGTACAGGAGGAAGTGGCTGGGGGGGATGGAGTGGTAGGAGGAGTGGAGGAGGTCGGCAGGGTTAGCAGAGGGTGTGGAAGGCTTCCCTAAAGAGATGGGTTTTCAGGGTGCGCCTAAAGGTGAGGAGGGTAGGAGACAGTCTGATGGATTGGGGTAGTGTACTACACCGGCTAGTAAATTATTTGCCATGTAGAAATATAATTTCTTCCAAAAGCAGTGATTGATCCGGTTAGTGATGTCTGACTGCTATTATTTTGAACACAACTGTATGTGGCTATAAGGACAGATCAAGATTCCGGCGCACAGACCTCTTGGATCCAGGGTCACTCATCTGTCCCTAACCTCAGGTAATCAAGCCATATGTGATTACATGCGAAACAGCTATGGATCTTATCAGCCTATCATTGCCACAGCTAACTGGGAAACACCAGTCTGCACCCGTCACAAAAACACCAGTCTGGATCACGTTCTCTGGGAAATGTTCATAGAAAATTCTTATGTTACTTACCAATATCTAGTGGCAAAATGCAGCGTGTTCCAAACATTCGACCAGCATAGGAAATACCCTAATAATTTTTTATTCTTGCCCTATTCACACATAATGAATGTACAGTTGCAAGAAAAAGTATGTGAATCCCCTTGGGATTCCATGGAGTTTTGCATGAATTGGGCATAAAATGTGCTCTGAACATCATCTAAGTCACAACCAATAGAAGAACACAGTCTGCTGAACATAATACTACACAAACATTAGATGTTGCCATGGTTTAATTGCACATAACATGTAAACATTCACAGTGCAGGGAGGAATAATTATGTGAACCTTTGGGGACTTAATAACTGGTTGACCCTCCTTTGGCAGTGTAATAACCTCAACCAAACGTTTCCTGTAGTTGCAGATCAGACCTGCACAACGATCTGGAGTCATTTTGGACCACTCCTCTTCACAAACTGTTTCAGTGTAGCAATATTCTTGGATGTCTGGTGTGAATCGCTCTCTTAAGGTCATGCCACAGCATTTCAATGGGGTTGAGGTCAGGACTCTGACTGGGCCACTCCAGAAGGCGTATTCTGTGCTGTTGCAGCCATTGTTTTGTTGAATGACTTGTATGCTTTGGGTCATTGTCCTGTTGCATCAACCCACCCTAAAACGTGCTGCAATATTCTTTTTGGACAGCATGGCTTCCTCCGTGGTGTCCTCCCATGTACTCCCATTCTTGTTTCATGTTTTCCTTATTGTAGATGTGTCAACAAAAAATGTTAGCATGTGCCAGAGATTTCTGTAGGTCTTTAGCTGACACTCTGGGATTCTTCTTTACCTCATGCAGCATTCTGCGCTGTGCTCTTGCAGTCATTTTTACAGGATGACCACGCCTAGGGAGAGTAGCAACAGTGCTAAAACTTTCTCCATTTGTAGACAGTCTGTCTTACCGTGGACACATGAACATCAAGGCTTTTGGAGGTACTTTTGTAACCCTTTCCAGCTTCATGCAAGTTAACAATTCTTGATGGTAGGTCTTCTGAGAGCTCTTTTCTGCGAGGCATGGTTCACATCAGACAGTGCTTCTTGAAACCAGTAAACCCAAAAACAGGTGTGTCAGCAAAACATCCAATATCATCACACTGATTGGAGTCAAGGTTGGCTCACTCCTGGCTGCAATTAGCTCTGGGAGAAGTCATTAAGCTAGGGCCTCACATACTTTTTCCTCCCTGCACTGTGAATGTTATACATGTTATGTGCAATTAAACCATGGCAACATCTAATGTTTGTGTAGTATTATGTTCGCAGCAGACTGTGTTCTTCTATTGTTGTGACTTAGATGACGTTCAGAGCACATTTTATGCCCAATTCATGCAAAAACTCCACATAATCCCAAGGGGTTCACATACTTTTTCTTGCAACTGTATATCCTTTTTTAACTGTACACAAATGTGCGGCCGCTCAGTGTCTAGGCC